CCGCCGATCGACCACGGCGTCCCCATCACCGACCGACGGAGCATTTTTCCAGGCGCACCTGGCGCCCGTCGTCTGCCCCAAGCAGGTGGGCTGCTCGCGTGTTTCCCCAGCGCAGTCCCAGCGAGTGGCTTTGCAGTCACACCCTTGCTTTTACTGTTGTTTTCACGTAAGAGAAGCGATTCGCTCACCTTCCCGCCCCCCGTGCTGAGACTCTGCGGGGGCGTTCGGTGTCCTCTGTCACTCTTTTAAATTGTATCTAAACGCTGACTGGGGCTGACCCTCAGACAAACACCCATGTGGTGCCGCAGAAATTACTACGTTTCATGGTGAAAAAGAATTACATGAGCCCTGACCCAGGGCTTCGCTGGTTGGAGCCTCATCCTGTGCACCAGGAGGTTGTGGGTTCGATTCCGGTCCAGGCCCGTGTGGGACAGCCCTCCAGCCAGCGGAGTCACGCCAGCCAGGCCCGAACCTTCCTCTTCGATGCCTCTGCTGGGGCTGCGGGTGAAATACATTGGGATTCAGATCACATCACTACACGGGACCCACTCACACTGAGGTTACTGTGATTGACCTGAAGTTGCGATTGAACTGAGCGTCTTTATTTTCATTTGCCAACCTGGCTCCTCCGCACACACCGTGTCCTCTGAGCGGGCGGCTCCTTCCTGCCCCTCTTCCCTTTGGACACAGAAATGACCACATCTCTCAAGTCTCGCTCACGTCACTCCCCGTGGCCGTGCGGGAGCCCAGAGAGCGTTCTGGTTTATAGACTGTGGGACACACCATTACGGTGCATCTATCATCCCAGATGCGTAAATTTGGTAAACTTTTAGAGCTCATTTTTTTAAATTCTCGTATTTACATGTAGAATTCTCTACACGGGGAAACAGGTTCCTGTTTAAGTACGAGGCATGGTTAGTGCTCAAGTGTTTTTCTGATAATTGGTGTTTAGAAACCAGGTCTGTTATGTTCATTCCGTCGTGAGCACCGGTCTCTGCCCTGAATGAGGAGGAACCTTGGCAGTGGCCTTCTCGGCCGTAGAAGATTCTTTACGTAAATTCTATGCCACCTGCAGGGCTTACATCAGCTTTAAGATGTTTCCTAGTGTTTGTTTATAGAGAAAGTGAAATGTGCACATTTGTTTATTCATGTTCTGCTCTTTTTAAGGTGAAAATGGTTCTTGCCAAATTATATGAGAACAAGAAAATCGCTAGCGCCACCCACAACATCTACGCGTACCGGTGAGTGAGCGCGCCTCCAGGAGCGTGTGATTCATAACGACGGGAGAAACGTGCATGACTGTAAACAATAACAACTATCATGTATTCTTCCCATTACAAAAGCAATCATTTGTAGAATATTCAGAAACTGCAGAAAAGAAAAAAAATCAGAGGGGAAATCAGCTGTTTTCTACCATTAAATGCAACCAATAGTACGTGATACATTTTCTGTCCTTTCTGTGCAAAGTTTATCTTTTCAATGCTTTGCCCTAGTACCACATTTTTTTCTTAATGTACAAAAACAAATTTCCATGTTGTTTACATTGCTTTGTGAACATTTTAATGCTTGACTAATAGTTGTCTGAGGTTGCAAACTACATTTTATTTAACCGTTTCCTGTTGGTTTTAGTTCTTCCTGTTTCTTTTATTTTTTTAAATATATATTTTATTGGCTTTTTACAGAAAGGAAGGGAGAGGGATAGAGAGTCAGAAACATTGATGAGAGAGAAACATCGATCAGCTGCCTCCTGCACACCCCCTACTGGGGATATGCCCGCAACCAAGATACTGCCCTTGACCGGAATCGAACCTGGGACCCTTCAGTCTGCAGGCTGATGCTCTATCCACTGAGCCAAACTGGTTAGGGTAGTTTTTTCTGTTTCATTATCTATCCTATATAATAAAAGAGAAACATGCAAATTAACCATCCCTCTGCTATACCCACAAGCCACGACCACCAGCCAATCAGGAGCGAGTATGCAAATTAACCCAACTAAGATGGCAGCGGCCAGGGAGCTAGAGCAAGCAGGAGGCTTGGGTTGCCCCCGGTGATGGAGGTAGCCAAGCTTCCCACCTGCCCTGGCTGGCCCTGGGCTCCGCTCAAGACTACAAAGTTTCAATTATAGAAGATAAATAAATCCCAGAAAAAAAGAAAAAAAGAAAAAAAGGAGAGGCTGGGAGCTTGGGTCGCCGGGGGGCGTGGCCAGCCCGAAAATGGCCATCAGCCCCTTACCCAGGCTGGCCAGGCACCCCAGCAGGACTCCCCCACCCTGAAGGGGCTGTGGCCAGCCTGAAAATGGCCCTCAGTCCCTCACCCAGGCTGGCCACACCCCCATGGGGTGAGGGTTCCCGCTGGGGGACTTGGCCAGCTTGCCAACAGCCATCAGCCCCTCACCCAGGCTGGCGAGGCACCCCAGTGGGACCCCCACCCTGATCCAGGACACCCTTCAGGGCAAACCAGCCGGCCCTCACCCGTGCACCAGGCCTCTGTCCTATATAATAAAAGGGTAATATGCAAACTGACCCTAACAGCAGAACGACTGGGAATAACTGGTCGCTATGACACACACTGACCACCAGGGGGCAGACGCTCAATGCAGGAGCTGCCCTCTGGTGGTCAGTGCACTCCCACAGCCAACCTCCTGCCGTCGGCTAACCTCCCGCGGTCCCTCCCCCCGACTGGCCAGCCCCGATCGCCGGCGATCGCCGGCCAGGCCAAGGGACCCCACCCGTGCACAAATCCGTGCACTGGGCCTCTAGTTATAGAGAAGAGCCGTGAACGTACCAGATGGTGAATGACAGTGAACACACACCTCGTGTAGTTCAAGAAGGGTTTTCAGAAGCAGATATGCTGGTTTGGGAAGTAAATTGCAACTCGTACGAAGTGTGTTGAGGTTTCGAGGTGTGAGCGCTGTTGTGTGTGTTTCTAGAATATTCTGTGAGGACAAGCAGACCTTCCTGCAGGACTACGATGACGACGGGGAGACAGCGGCCGGCGGGCGCCTGCTGCACCTCATGGAGGTGGGTCTGCAGTCCTGACCGTCCCGGGCTGAGCTCCCCGGCAGCACGGGCTCCCTCCCTCCAGGGACCAGCCCTCGGTCGCTCTGTAGCGGACGTGTGGGTTCATCGGGAGTTAGTTTCTGAACGGCGACGAGAAGATGCCACTCCTGGGGGAGGGCAGAAGGCACAGGGTTGGTACAGGTCTCGGGCTCCCAGCCCTTTCCTCGCGGCCACAGGAGATGGTCTGCAGCCGTGGGACCTTCTTGTTTTGTTTTCTGACAATTTCCTCCCTTTATTTTCGCGTTCTATCTGTGAAATTCCTGGAAGTTGGTTATCGGGGCTTCTGAATGGATCCAGGATCTTTCTCTCCTTATGAAGTTGTCCATCTCGTTGCCTGGTGTTCCGAGACATGTTCTTGATGGTCTCCTAACATTTGTTTTAGCAGCCGTGCATTTAATTCTATAATTATAACAGCTCCCCCTGCTTTTCCTTTTTCCCGTTTTTCCTGTTCTGTGCTGTGCGGTTCTGGGTTCGTGGGTGCAGTATCTCCTCCATTTCCTGCATCTGCGAGTTAATGTTGGCTTTAGCGATTCCTCTCAGGTGGTCTCCGGTCCGTTTAGTTGCTCATCTTGCCCTTTCCCGTTCGTGCGGCTGGACCCCCCCCTCTGTCTGTGATCACCGACGGCCCCGTTCTGAGAGGGGCTGTTCTCTCCCCAGGTGGTTGCGGCAGTATTTTCCGCTCTTGTGTGAGGTTTGCTCACGCCCTGGAGGGGACTCTGTGTGGCCAGGCCTGTGGGCCAGCGGTTCTCCCCTTAGGGCGCGTTGGGCACACGTCCGGCCGAGGAAGACGTGTGGGCAGCGCCAGCGAGGCCTCCGCAGCCCGTGCCCTCTGGCCGCCGTTTAGAAGCAGGTCCGTGTGGCCCAGGGTGAAGGCCCCAGACAGCTGTTGTGGTGGAAGCCGCGAGAACTGGGACCCGCCTGCCGGTCTCCCCTGCACGCCCGGGCCCAGCGTTTGCAAGTTGAAGGCCGGGGAGCAGGGGTTCCTTTTCCAAACCCCCTCCTGTCTGTCCCCTCCTGTCCCCTGGGCCGTCCGTCTCACTCGCCCCCTCAGTGCGTCCGCCATGGGCGTCGGGGGCGCTTCTGCGCAGGGTCAGTGCCGCGGGGCTCACCTGCGCCCTCTCTTGTCCGATCTGCCGGACGCAGGTCCTGAACGTGCGGAACGTGCTGGTGGTGGTGTCGCGCTGGTACGGCGGCATCCTGCTGGGGCCCGACCGCTTCAAGCACATCAACAACTGCGCCCGGAGCATCCTGGTGGAGAGGAGCTACGCGGGCTCGCCGGTGAGCCCCCCCCTCCCCGCTCCGCCGGGGCTGCCAGCACCAGAGGACGTGCTCCGCGCGGTCAGCATCGGGTGGTGTCGGGAAACCTTGGCCCGGGAGCCGCAGGCCGGTCCCAGGCAGAACCCAGTGGCGGCCAGGGCAGACCCTGGGCGGGGACTTCCCTCCTGGACCCTCAGGCCAGATGCTCCTGGAGTTTACGGAGCCTCAGGCCAGTGGCCTCCATCCCCGAGGCCGGGGCTGAGCTGTGTGTGACCTGGGTCCTCAAATGGCCACGAATCCACGTTTCCTGTCACGGCCGCGGCTGCTCTCCCAGGCAGGCCTTTCCCGCCTCCTCCCTTTACGTTTGGAGGCTTTTGTTTGATATTTTGTAACTACGTTCACTTGTATTGTTTTTAAACTCGGCTGCTTTACTTTAAAAAGCGGACACTAGAGCCCGGCCGCTGGCTCCGTGGTTGAGCGTCCACCCAGCACCAGGAGGTCCCGGTTCGATTCCCGGTCGGGGCACAGGCCTGGGTTGCGGCTCCACCCCCAGCAGGGGGCGTGCAGGAGGCGGCCGATCGATGTTTCTATCCCCCTCTCTTCCTCTCTCTCTAAAATCAATAAAAACATTTTTTTTTAAAGTGGACAATAGAATAATATTGAAATTATTTAAACATAAATCTATTAGGTAAATGAGTGTTTTCCTTGATTATTGTCGATTATTTTGTAAATGTGTACATAGACGGTAAACAGAAGTGCTGGATAAAACAGAAGACGGCACAGAGGGAAGTAGCTGCACTTCCACTGTTGTACAGACTCTAGGGATTCGGTTTAAGGCTCCTAAGCCAGCAGCTTCGTGTACATGGGGGGGAGACTACATTGATTTTCTCACTTTTCCAGGAGGAATCGTCGAAGGCTTTGGGAAAGAACAAAAAAGTGAGAAAGGACAAGAAGAGGAGTGAACATTAACAGCCGATACGGCTTAGCGGTCAGCTTACCTGTGACCAGATGCAGGCCCCTCACTCATCAGACGTCTGCACGGGGGGCCTGCGGCCCCGCAGCCATTCATCACGACACCAGCGCCATCTCCTCCCTGGTCATGTCACCCGCCAGCACCAGAGGCCCTGTGAGCACCGTGCGCGCGGCTGGAGCTTCACCGCCACTTCGCCCGCGCGAGGGAGGCAGCAGCGGCCGGGGCGGCGCCTGGACGGTCGCCTCGGCCGCGTCAAGTGCCTTTGTTGGTGGGAAGCGCGGTCTCTCGGGAGGGGCGGCAGCACCTGCTTCTCGTCGATGCGTTTTGCTGAGGGACACGCCTCGCGCTGTTCTTCCGCCTCGTGGGGTGGACTCGCCGAGGACGGACCTGGGAGAGTTCCCTCCTGTGGTTTCAGTCCTCGGCGTGTCGCCCCTGAGGATGGCGAGGCGGGCGCGGGCGTGTCTCCGGCCGCCATGTGCTGGCGCGACTGTCACACCCGTGCTGGCAGGAGTGTGTGCCTCAGTCCCTGCTGCAGGTGGGTGACTGAATTTCAGAAAGCGGTTTTCCCGCCTCTGCCCTTTTGGTTCCGTCCTTGTGATGTGAGCGGTGAACGTGGTGCCAGGAGCTCCTCCCGCCCGAGATGTGTCCGTTCTGTTTCTTCAGCCGGAAGCCCTTTCCTGTGACCCCCACGGGGGAACGAGGGCTGTGCTGGGCGCGAGGCTGTGGCTGACGAGGAGAGAGGACGGGAGAGGGAGAGAGAGAAACATCCGTGATGAGACAGAATCATGGGTCGGCCGCCTCCTGCACGCCCCCCACTGGGGATCGAGTGTGCAACCCGGGCCTGTGCCCTGACCGGAATCGAACCTGGGACCCTTCAGTCTGCAGGCCGACGCTCTAGCCACTGAGCCACACCGGCCAGGGCCCTTACTTGGTGTTTTTAATAAGAATAGCTTTCTGCTAGGATGGATTCTGAGAAATAAGATCTGAATTGTATTTGTTGTACATGTTTAATGTTGCCAGTTATCAATTGTCATCAGAGGGTGACATATATGTATTTAGATAGAACACATCAAGTTCCATGTAAAATTCAGTATGTCCTATATTAACTTAAAAAAATTGAAGTTAAAAACTACCAATTAGCATGAACATAATTTCACAATTTTGGCACATCAGGCCCGTGGTAGGAGCCATAAAACGGAATTTGGTGCTGCAGAAAAGTAAATGCCAGTCCATGGTTCTCTGCCACCAGATTGAATTTCTTTCTTGCTGATTCAACTAATATTTCCTTAGGTCTTTTAGAAAACCTTTATTTCTGGGATCTCATTTTTCTTTAAAAGCAATCTTATTTTTGCTTCTTTCTACAGAATCATGAACCACATTTTCCTGACTATGGCACCTAATTTCCTTTGCCCAGGCAGCTAGTTAATGAGGAGAATCTCACTGTCTATGTGTATGGACCCCTTTCCAATATTCGTATCTGTTTTTCTCCATTTAAAAGCTTATCTTGAGTCCAGGCCGGTGTAGTTCAGTGGGTAGAGCGGCGGCTTGCAGATCGAAGGGCCCCAGGTTCGATTCCCGTCAAGGGCACATGCTCGAGTTGCAGGCTCGGTCCAACGTGCAGGAGGCAGCCAATCAATGATTCCCTTTCATCATTGATGTTTCTCTCTCTCTTCCTCCCCCTTCCTCTCTGAAATAAGTAAAAATATAATTTTGAAAAAATTTATCTCGAGTCCAGGCCAGTTTGGGTCAATGGTCCTCGCACCGAAGGGTCAAGGGTTCGATTCCCAGTCAAGGGCACGTACCTGAGTTGCAGGTTCAGTCCCCACCCAGTATTGGGGCTCGTGCAGGAAGCAGCCGATCGATGTATCTCTCACATCCATGTTTCTCTCTCTCTCCTCCCCTCCCTTCCATTCCCTCTGAAAACCAATGGGAAAATATCCTCGGGTGAGGATTAACAAAAAAAGTTTATTGCGATTAGGTTTTCAAATTCTCCAAGTCATTTTCTCTAGCCATCGGTGCGGCGGCATATTTTATGGCACCTTGTACTAGCTGCACGTATTCCCCACGTGCCAGAGAGGAGGAGCAGGTGGCACCTGCATTTTAAATGGGAACCAACGACTGTGGTTTGGAGGCGTGGACCTCGAAACAGCCGGCGTGCAGAGAAGTTATCAAAGTGCTCACAGCGGGAAGAAGGGCAGGAGGCAGGGCTGAGTGTGGGGGGGGGGGGGCGCTCCACGGTCTGGAGACGGCATTCGTCGCATTTGGTACGCGCATCTTCTATTTTTCCCCTGCGTGATTTTGTACATATGCTATTTTTCTTTCCATAAAAATGGTATTAAACTGTACATACTGTTTTGTATCTGGATATTTCATATAGAAGTATATTGTTAACATTTTCCCATTTCAATAAAGACTATTCTACGGCTTAGTTTCTTATGATGCATCCTGCTCTGCCTTCTGGGTGTATCGTCAGTACCGACTGGTCACTGCTGGTTTCTGATCGCTGCGTCCCCGGTGCACAGCCCTGAGCAGAGCCCTGGGTGCAGGCGCCTGTGTGACCGGCTCCTTTCCTTTATTGTAACCGCACGAGGGGCCGGCGGTGGCTCTGGTGCTGGGACAGGTCCGCCTTGAGGTCGTCGTGGTGAAGGGAGACCTGTGTGGACAGGACCCCGACCGCCTTCCCCTGGTTCTGCCCCCAAAAGTGTAACGTCCGTCTGACGGACCCACTTTCAGTTTCTCTGAGCAGGGCCCTGCCCGATGCCCGGCTCCCCCCCTCCCCCCGTCCAGGGCCCACCTCTCCCCGCCCAGGGCCCCCTGCGCCTTCCCGCTGTCGTTGGCGCGGACCCGGGGCCGGATTTGGGAAGCAAGCGGGAGCCAGGGAGGACGGCACTTACCGGGCGTGTACGCGCCAGTCCGAGCTGCTTGGTGAGCTGCTGTGAGTCTCTAGGCCCCGTCAGGCCATCTGGTCACTCAGATCCGTCACTGGGTTGTGCACGACGCCTCTGTTCTCTGAGAGGCGCCTTTTCTGCCCTTACCCCCCCCCCCCGCCCCATCTAGGTGTGGTCTCCGTTCCTTTGCGCCCTCAGGTGCTGTGCAGCGGGAACCCCGGGAGTGCACAGCTCTGTGCAGCGTCCTGGTGCCTCCGCTGTGATCGACCCGGGTCAGACTCCGGTGCGGTGAGTCCCACCGTCCCTTTGTCTTCTGTGCACACGTCCGTGTTGCACATTTGGGGTCCCCAGGCCAAATCCCTTAGGTCTGGTTTCTGGTTGATTGACAAGCCTTACAGGAGCCCGCTGGTCCCTCCGGCACCCGGCCCTGAGCTCCCCTCGCCGTGGGCGCATTCTCTGCCGGGCGTTTGTGAAGTCAGTCCCTGGTGCTACCAGCCTGGGAGGCATCGCAGGAAATGCAAGGCACGTCGTCAGAAGCTGGTACACGGAGCCCACAGCTTGTTTCATTTTATTTACTTATTTTTTATTAAATGTATTGGGGTGACATCGGTTAATGTGATCGTATAGGTTTCAGGTGTGGGTTTCTGTGATGCCAGATCTGCATGTTGCACCGTGAGCCTGTGTTTCACTCAGATGTCCCACGTAGGAGTGAAGTCATAGGATTCTGAGCCTTTTCTGACGGTCTTACCTCCTCAGCATCCTGTTCTCAGGCCCATCCCCGTGGCTGCCAGTGGCGCTATTCCGTCCTCTCTCGTGGCTGAGTGGTGCTCCGTTGTGCACATAGACCATGTCTTCCTTTCCCGTCCTCTATCGCGGGACTCGTGGCTGTTTCTGTGTCTTGGCTGCCGTAAATAACGCTGCCGTGAACACAGGGGGCCTAGATCTTTGCATATAAATGGTTTTTGGGGATAAACCCAGGAGAGGGTCTGCTGGTTCGTATGGTAGCTCTGTTCTTAGTTTTCTGAGGAAACACCAGACCAGACCGCCTTCCACGGTGGCTGTGCCGGCCACCTTCCCACCAGCAGTGATGGGCCTCTCCGACATTCCCTGCAGGTCGGTGGCTGGTCCCTCCCTGCGGCCCGTGGCTGGTCCCTCCCCGCGGCCCGTGGCTGGTCCCTCCCCGCGGCCCGTGGCTGGTCCCTCCCTGCGGCCCGTGGCTGGTCCCTCCCTGCAGGTCGGTGGCTGGTCCCTCCCTGCAGGTCGGTGGCTGGCCTCTCCCTGCAGGTCGGTGGCTGGTCTCTCCCTGCGGCCCGTGGCTGGTCCCTCCCTGCGGCCCCGTGGCTGGTCTGGACCAGCGCGGACAGGGCTGCCCGGAGAAGGCTCGGTGGGCTCTGCGTGGCTAATGTGCAGAAAGATGTCGGGGGCTGCTCTGCAGACAGGGTTCATGACCTTGCTCTCGACCTTGCTCTCGGGAACACGGTGAAATGGAGCCCCCATGGTTCCCAGTCCGCAGACCAGGAAGCGAAAGGGTAGGGCGAGGAGGTGACGGGCCCGGCGGCTGGATCCGCCGGGAGGAAGCTGACCTTGCGCTCAGGGCCCAGCCGGAGCCGGCAGCTGAACCCATCGCCCTGCCCTCGCGAGACGCCGCTCCTTCCTCCTCGGGGAAGAGGGAGAGGCAGGAGGCGGCGGATGTGGGTGGGCAGCAGACCCCGAGCCACAGACCAGATCCACACCAAGCAGATGCCGGTGGGCACAGCCAGTGGAAGGCTCTCCTCTCTGCGCGCTGCCTGCAGTGTCCGCCTTCCCCACCAGGTGGCTCTCACAGCTCCTCTCCCCCGCAGTCCCCGCCTTCCCCACCAGGTGGCGCTCACAGCTCCTCTCCCCCGCAGTCTCCGCCTTCCCCACCAGGTGGTGCTCACAGCTCCTCTCCCCGCAGTCCCCGCCTTCCCCACCAGGTGGCTCTCACAGCTCCTCTCCCCCGCAGTCCCCGCCTTCCCCACCAGGTGGCGCTCACAGCTCCTCTCCCCGCAGTCCCCGCCTTCCCCACCAGGTGGCGCTCACAGCTCCTCTCCCCGCAGTCCTGTCTGCGCTCCTGAGAGGAACTGACGGGAAGGAGCTGGTAGCAGCCCGCTCACGGGCCACCTCTTTACATGGAATTAAACTCATAAAATGCGTGAAGGCTCCATCAACTATAAAAACAAAACAATGACTTCTTTTCCCCTTCGAGAAGGCAAGGGACCTGAAGGTGCTCGCAGAGGGGCACACGCACACACACGTGCACACACACCTGCTCACACACCTTCCCACAGCCCACTGCACACTCACCCACAGACACATGCCCGCCCCTGCGCCCACCCCAACCACACACGTCCACATGCTACACACATTACCCCCCACACGCACACGCACACACACGCACACACACACACACACACACACACACACACTCTAGAACTGGGATCTGCTCACGGGAATCCCGTAAAGGCCTGGAGGGCTGCAGGAAAGTGTAACCGTTTTGCGTCTGTTTCATCAGGGTCATTTGCTGATTTTTTCTTTTAAAAACACCACAAGTTATTGGCTTTACAAACCCCTGCATTTCAGGGCCCCTCGCCCTCAGCACACGTCCAGGCAGCACCAGCCTGGGGTCAGGAGCAGTTCTAACGGGGCCTGGTTTCCTCTGTAATAAGCTGAGCTTTTAGGGCTCCGCCCTCCCCGCCCTTGGGGAGCCCCCGCCCCAGCACCACCCGCCCGTGTCTGCAGACGGGACCCTCTCTCCCTGGGGACCCAGCCCAGCGGCCCGGCCGCCTGACCTGCAGGAGGCAGGCCCTGCCCAGCCGCAGGAAGAGGGAAAGACAGAGAAACATCGATGTGAGAGAAACCTCGCTGGGCTGCCTGCTGCGCACCCCTGACCGGGGCCCGGGCCGGGGAGGAGCCTGCGACTGAGGCATGTGCCCTTGAGTGGAATCGAACCCGGGACCCTTTGGTCTGCAGGCCCACGCTCTATCCACTGAGCCACACGGGCCAGGGCTGTAAATCACACATATGAACAATAATCACGATCATGATGGGCGCTGACATGGTGCTCTTGGACCCCCCCCCACCCACCCCCATGCGAACAGCTCGTCTAGTTTTGTCCTGACGGCGCTGACATCCTGTGCAGTTGACACATCCTGGGCCGGAGCGGAAAGAAGTCGAACAGGAGCCGGGGGGGGGGGGGGGA